GTTGGAAGTCTCTGAATCTGTAGGTGCCAAAGGATGCTCAAAGGCCAGGATAGAGCAATATGAAGCATCTTTGACAAATCTTACCCAAGCTGCTTTGTAGAGGATCCACCTGGGGCCCTATGCCAAGCCCATTTCATATTGTAGAGAGGAAGTTCAAAGCAGAAAGTTGATGCTGGCAAGAATGGATGGTGCAACACATTCCAGGTCCTGGAAGGATGATGCCAGGAAGTTCATCTCTCCCCTACATAGGCTTTCTGGCACACACAGAAGGCAGAGGGGCCTGGGTGCCAGATGTGAACAGCACATGTGTGCCACTGTGGTTCCATCTGGGGCTCAGGACAGAAGCTTGGCTTTTGATCATGTGAAGGAGAGCGATTCCTTACAAAGTACAGGATAAGAAGTTCCAGAGCTAGAGTGTGACTAGACAAAGGTTCTCCATGCCTCACTTTCCTTTCATCTTATCTTGTGGGGCCTCTTCGGTTTTTGTGACAACTGTGCTTCTAATGATGTCTGGAGTTGCCTCCACTGTTTTGATATTTTGTCCAGACATTGCTTTTCTGTATACAGAGAGTCTTCCAAAGCACCAAAAGGGTTTTCCCCACCAAAGACAGGGAGGAAAAGACGAGATAATATGCAAAGTACCATAATTAATATTTCGTTTGTATTTTGTTAAATTTAATGATAATCTTTATTTCAGACTTAATTCTTTGATGTACAGAGTGGCTTAAAGAACCATTGCAAGTTGCTTGGACAGGAACTCCTGCATTTGACATTTTGGAGTGGAAGTGAGGGAAGATGGCCAGTGGAAGGGCTAAGATCCAATAAAGCAATGTTTCCGGGAATTGACTGCCTTCTCTTTAGGGGTTACTACCTTGCTCAGAGCTTGTTAGGATGAGAAAGGGGAAGGAGCTTCTTCACATAATCCGCAGCCATAGCTTGGAAGTCATTGCTCAGGAAACTCATAGATGCATCTCTACCTCAGTTATGTACGACTATATTGACCTCCATCACTTCAGCTAGGCAATAAAGAAATTTGTGAGAAACAAGCAGCTCTTTTCTGTGTAACTCTCTGCTACGGTTAGCTTTAATTGTCAACTTGATACAGCTGAGACTCACCTGGGAAGCGTCTCCATGAAGGATTGATTGCCCAGATCACATTGTCTTGTGGGCATGCCTGTGAGGGATTTTTGTTGAACTGGGTTCACTGAAGTGGGAAGACCCATCCTGAATGTGGAAGCACCATTTCATGGGCTAGGCCCTGAGCAGTAGAAGAGTGAAACGAGTCGAGCAGCAACACGCCTGTATCCACACCTCTCTGCACTTGACTGTGACTAGCTGTCTCAGTTTGTGCCTTGGAATTTTGAGCAAAGATAAACCCTTGTTCCCTAAGTTCCCCTTTTTGGTATTTTATCACAGGAACAGAAAGGGAATTAGGATACTCCACATGGGATCAAATAGTGTGCATGTCTCAAGATAGCTGGAATTTTAACATTTTTAGTTTAAAGTATATTGTGTTCTCAAATGAGGCCCTTCCTCATCAAATTAAGTATCTCAGGACACAAGAAAGATTGAGCAGTACTGCCGTCTCAGGTCTGTGCTGACACAGTCTCCCCTGTACTGTGATTTCAACAGCCCCGTGAAGCTGGCTGGAATCATTAACCAGTCTTGACTAAGGCTCTGGGAGTGTCATGTCATGAGGATGGTGTGCTGCTTGTCATTAGTTCAAGCCATCTTCCTTTGGGTTTCAGGTTGAGACACACCCAGTGTATGATGTGCTGGGGACCAAATGCAGGACTTTGTGCATGCTAGGCAAGCACTCTACCAGAGAGCCACATCCCCAGCCTCAGCTTATACCCTCTTCTAAAGGATAATTTTCCTTCTCCTGAGTCATCTATATGATCAGAACACTTTCTTACTATTAAGTCTATTTAACACTAATTTCTCCTTTGAGACAAAGTAATTTAAAAAATGGTTTATTTTTATTGTATGTGTATAGATGTTTTCCTTGCTTGTATATAAGGGTATCATGTGCATGAAATGCCTGCAGAGGCCAGAAGAGGGAGTTGGATGCCTTGGAATTGGAGTTATGGATGGTGTTAGCCACCATGTGGGTGCTGGGAACCCAACCTGGGTCCTCTGCAAGAGCAACCAGTGCTCCTAAGGACTGGGCCATCTCTTCAGCTCCCAGAGTAATATTTAAAAACTGTGGCCAAACACATATCACATAAAATTTACCATCATAATTACTTCATGTTCAACTCTATTTTTTGAGACAGTTTCTCTTTTGAACCTCAGCTTGCAGATTCAGCCAGACCAGCAAGCTCCAGGGGTTCTCCTGTCTCCACTTCCCAGGCACTGAGATTACAGGCTGCCACACCTGGCTTTTATATGGTGCTGGGAATTCAACACAGGTCCATGTGCTTACACCACAAGCATGTTATTGACTGAGGAGCTGGGGGCCCTTCCAGACTCCTTTTAACTGCACAGTTCTGTGGCAGAAAGTGTAGTTACTTGCTGTATGACCATCAGCACCTTGTACTGGCAGAACTTTTTCATTTTCCCTGTCTGAAACTCTGTCCCTTTTTACCCTAACTCCTCTCAACTCTCCATTCCTGTTAGCTTCTGTTGAATTTTCTGTCTATGAATGTCACTATTCTAAGTACCTCAAGTAGCTAGAATTATATAATATTTGTCCTTTTTCATATCTGGTTAATTTTATGTAGTACAATGTCCTCAAGGTCATCCATGTTGTAGCATGTTTCAGAACCTTCCTCTTAAAGGTTGAATAATATTCCACTGTATGTACATACCACATTTGCTAACCTGTTCATCTGTGGCTAAACATCTGGATTGGTTCTACCTTTTGATTATTAAAATAATATTGCTACGATCATTGGTCTACATGTATATATTTACATTCCTGCTTCCTGTTTTGTTGGCTGTGTGTATAGAAATAGAGTTGCTGGATCTGGTGATGCTAATGGTAATTCCATACTGGTTTTTCGCAGAGGCAGCACCTCTTACATTCTCCCCAGGAATGCACAAATGCTGTCAACATTATGCCACTGTTTTCTGTTCCTTGAGTAGTGGGAATACTCATGTGAAGTAGCATCTCATTGTAATTTGAATTTGCATTTCCCTAATGCTTAGCAACATTAGCTGTGTATTCACACATTAATCATTTATTTATTTTGGAGAAATGTCTACCAAATTGTTTTCCCACTTTTCCATTGAGGTAGTTGCTACTGAGTCATGATTGTTCTGGGTATATTTTGATGGTCCTTGTCAGATATGTGATTTATAAATATTTTTACATTCCGTAGGTTTCCTTTTAATGTTTTTCATAGTGTCCATTGATGAAGCCCGTCATCTTTTTTTCTCTTTTGTTGCCTGTGCTTTTGGTTTTCTATCCAAGAAATCATTAACAAATCAATTTTCATGTTGTTTCTTTGCATATTTTTCTCTATGAGTTTTACATTTTTTCACTGTGATGCCTAGATCTTTGATCCATCTTCTAATTTTCCAATACGGTTGGAAGTAAGAGTCTAACTTCATTTTGTTGTTTTGTATGTGGCTACCCATCCAGTGGTGTATTTCTGAAGATGTTGTTTAAAACAAAACTCCCTGTTTCGACGCTCATTTTCTAGGCCTGCTTTGCCAGCGATGGCTTCTTCTGCTTCACTGGAGTGGCTCTTGTGTACTACGATAGGTTGCAGCAGAGGGTAGAGCTAAGGTCCAAAAGGGTGACTGTACATAAACTCACTTAGACAAGTCCAGACTAAAGAGACCCTCAATAATTACACCATCTACTTTCCTAGGACAAGAATCAGAATCTGTTGGTTCCATTTTTCTCGTAAACACAGTGGTCATGACTGTAATTAGCTGTGATGAATTTCATTGACCATGAGCTCTTTAAGCTGGTCAGTGTGCTGGAACACACTGATTGGGCTGAAGAGGACAGGCTGGAGCAAGCATCCTTAGCTTCATAGACTTCTCTCACAGCCTTCTGGAGATGGCTGGCTTATGGATCTCTTTTCCCACAGAGATATGATCTGGTTAGATTTCTAGCACTGAGAACAGTGCCTGATGAAGACATTTATTAAGCTAAACAGATGGAAGCAAGAGAAAAGCATGGTTTGTCTTCCAAGCCATGTTAAAGCACAGGAGAGAAACACACACATTAAATCTTGCTTTAACCACAAGATCATCTGCACTGGGGCACTGTTATACCATGAAGGAGAAACATGATGACCTTATTCATAGCAATGAGATTTTGCTGAGACATTCTTATCATTGTCCTGATATGTGAAGCAAAAAGGCTGTATGCTTCCACCTGGAGTCACATCAACACTTTCATGGTGCTCACATTCTCTCAAAATGAGACATATACAAATAACCAAGGATGCCAATGTTCACCTACGGCAGGGGTCACCTGAAGGCAGCAGGGCCATGTAAGTTCACAATGGTGAGGATCCTGGAAGTCAGGCTTGGGTAACGGGGCACTTTAGCTTTACAGTTCAGAAATCCAAGCTTCCTATTTGGTCAGCTCTCGTCCACACCCAAGGAGGGTGATATAACATGATCTGGGTGAGCATTGCTCTGCTGAGGGAGTCGATCCATGTGGAGCAGGAACAGTTACATATCCAGTAGAGCATCAGTCTAATGCTTTAGGTAGCGTAAGGCAAAGCTAGCTCTCTTTTTGGCTCACTCCCTCCTCACTTTGCCCTTGCTCAGTTATATTTAGTTGAAGTATAACTTGGAGAATAAAAATAATAGGTGTGATTTGGCACTGCCCCAGTCAGCGACACTATTTACTCTCTCTTTCAACCACAGTGCCTGCCCTCTTGTCTTTACCCTGGTGCCAAGCACACTTGGAAGACCGCCTCTTCTCCAGCCTCCCTGGTGTGACCACACCCCCCTATTTCAGGAGGCAGCTCTATTAGGAGCATTATGGTCTCTGGATCCTCTTTAGCGGGAGCTGAGGATTCCGCAGGTAGAAGTTGGAGAGAGCTGCGGACTGCTCACTTTATTCTTCAACCAGTCTCTCCGGCAAAGTACTAAGTGAGGGGTGAGTTTCTGCTGAAAACTTTTCACTTCCATTTTCCTTTTCCTGTCCCCCCCGCCCCTTGTGGAATTAAAGGGTAAATTAATGGATACTTTAAGGACAAAAGCAGATTTCTTTTCCTCTTTTTACCTTTCTATATTCATGTATTCAATTGTTTAATAATATTTTTTAAAACTATTTCCTGGCCTCATTAGATTAGCTTAAAATCAACACTCTCACTTTTTTCCAAAAGCAAAATCACTTACGTTGTAGATCCCTGTAAATGACATGTCAAAATTCCAATATCCTTTGCAGACTGGAGACTTGCAGAGAAATCAAACTGTAGTTCCCCTTAGAATTTTCCTTTTTCCTCCTTCATTCTTAGTCTATTGTTTTGTCTTCCCCCCACCTCCCTGGCTAGTAACTTAATGAATTCCTTCTATAAAGAGGAAATTGCTACAGGTTGGGACCTTGCAAAGGCAAGCCAGCCTAGTGGGCTGTTTGTACTACCTTGCCTTGTGACCTAAGATCTGCAAGGACATACCAGTTCTTTGCAAGGCCCTGTAGGTCGGTGGATGGGCGGGGGGCTCTCTAGTCAGAAGGGGCTTTCTTCCCTGCCCTGAGGGGCTGGGTCCCAGCACTGCTCTGGGAGGTAGTGGGGGTGAGGCAATTCCTCTCCACTTGCTGGTAGCTGGTATCTGGTTGTCTGCACTGTGTGTAGCTTCTCTGTACTGTAAAAATGTGCTACCACCTTTCTATCCCAAGCTTCCCTTCTTTCCTATCCTTTTCTCTCTTTTTTTCATCTCAGGGTGGTTTTCCTTCTTACTTTGTATCATTGCCTAGAACTGGGTGAGAAAAGGTATTCGTTCAACAACAGGAAATTTAGATCCTGAAATGCTCTCTGGCAACTCCTTTTTGATTTGTAAAATTACTGACACTTTAACTCTTTCACCAGCTATGGTCTGGATTGCTTCACCTTTTTATTCAGAGAGAGACCCCTTTGCTTGGCAGGCTTGGATTACACAGGGCAGGCTGGGTGGCCTGTATTCCTCTAGGTGACCTGGTGTTCCAAAACAGAGGCAAATCAGAGCTATAATGGGTTAATGCCTGGGAAGTGCTTTGAAGATGAAATGGTCTTTTCATGTGTTCGGGTATTGTAGTTATTAATATTAATATTTGAAGAAGCATGCTGCTTGTAAATCAACAAGTTCATCCTTGCCAACTCAGTAGTGGAATAACAAACAGCCCAGGGGCCGCGAAGCCTCTTCCGTCCTGGTTCCTGGTTCCGCAGCAGAGGATGTGGGAAGCCCAGTGTGATTACCGGCTGGGGCTCTTAGCCTTACTGGCTTCTTACACCCAGGTGCTAGTTGCTAAAGGTGCCAGGAGGGGCTAGAGCAGAGTCTGGGGAGGCTGGGGAAGTAGGGTAATCCTCCAACAGCTGGCCGTCTGTGACCTTGGAGGATCTACTGAGCCCACACCCCCGCCAGTTGCTAATTCCAGGGGAAGATGGAGTTCAAAGGCCAGGAGGGTCAGAGCTGGATTCTGGAGTCCACAAAGTGTATGTGCACTTGGGACTTTATGGGAGATTGCGTTTGTAACCAAAAAGGGATGATGGAATAAACGCGGTGTGCTTCCTTTTCTTTATCTCTAAAATGCATGTAATTATTTGTGGCCCACCTAGTTCACAAAGAGGAGAGTTTAGAAATAAACCGTGTAGAGCTTTGAAAAATAAAAGAGTAATAGGGCCAGGGCAGTCAGAGGGAATGCTCTTAAGAAAGCTGGGTGTGTGGGTGCAGGTCCTTAGGGGAGGGCTTGGCAAGGCAAAAAAAAAAAAAAAAAAAAAAAAAATGATGAAGACATACCTGGCTCAAGGTTTTCTGTGGTGACCCACTCAGCTTCATCGTGTTGGCAAACTTCTCACCCTAGGGTTCTGCAGGACCTGACTTTTTAAAAAATTGTTTGACCGTTCCATGCATTTATATATGAGTCCCCCCCCCCCCCACATCCCATATCTTTTTCTTACCCTTTCCCTCTCCTACTGGAACCCTTCTCAGTAAGTCTCCCCCCATTTTCATGTCTTCTTTTTGTTTGGAGGTTTTGTGATTTTATTTATTGGTGATCATATTATTTTCCCCAATAACAATTGTCCTTTTCTAATTACATTCAAATTTCTCAGTTGTTAACATGAAAAAGTAGAAGAAATGGGTACACCCCAGAAATTGGGGCTCCTTTTCTTTCTCCTCCCCTTTCCGTCCCTCCCTTCCTCCTTTTCTCCCTCCCTCCTCATCCTTCCCTTCCTCTCCCTTCTTTCTTCTATGAAATTTAAAAGCATTTGAATGGCAGTAATGTGGTAGATAGCAATTTAATGGCATTTGAGGCAACTCTTGTTTTTTCAGTCCTAAAGAAATTTAGATGTGGAGATTCATGTCACATTTTTTTATAATCTCCACAGCTTCCTTATCTCTACTGAAATGTAGCTTTACAGGACTCTGTCTTCTAACCTAACTGACCCCTTCAACAGAGGCAGGAGAGCGGTCTAATTTACTGAGCTCTTGCTCAGTGTGTTTCACAGGTGTTCTTCATGGACAACTTCATTTAAATCAGCAGGGCAAGTTCTGATGGAATCCTGATGGGGATCTAGAGAACGTGATGCAGTTACCGACTGCAGTTACCAGAAGCCAAGAAGTCTGAGACACTTAGACAAAGCTGGTCTGGATTTTTCTAGGTATATGGGAGGATAATGTGAATCAGGCTTATTCTCCAAAGGTGAATTTGTAAGTTAACTATTCATTGTTAAGAAAGTTGTTGACGCTGAAGGAAGACCACAGGTGGTTTGCTTGAGTGAGTAAATCACCCTTGTTGTGATGATTTTTAGCTGTTTCTTCTCTGTACGCAGCCTCGGTTGTTGAGGGCTCAGAATATATGTGTAAGAAAAATGTAAGTTCATAAGATTTATTTCAGAAAGCAATATTTTGTGGGAAAAAGTTGAAAATAAAAGAGAATATAATTTTTAAATGTTGCAATACATTGTGCATACTTTCTGAGTTCAAATGACACAAAAAATTGTCTCTAGAACTGAGGGAAGGATGCTTAAGTGTTTTTTTTTTTTTATCTTATTTTCTTCTCAAAGCAAAAGATGATAGGTTTAATGTTGTTCCAGTGGCCAAGGCTCAGGTACAGCTCTAGAACATTCAGGGACAGCCTAGACAGCATTCTTTGCTGGAATAAAGCAGGGAACTTTTAGTGTCAATGTCAGGAGTATATCTTCTGTGAGGAAAAGATTAAAACATTTAAAAATTTTTTCATTTAAAAGTAGTTTCAGATGGACTAAAATTTGCAAGAACAAGTAATTCCTGAAAAGCTTTGGGTTTAAAAAAATATGGCAAGCCAATCTTCAAAATCATCTTTTATGTCTCTGGATGGTGGTCTCTAAATGACCCCTGTGGAAGGGGAGAGTCCTATAGCCAGTCTTTTCTCCCTCCTGGCAAGATCTCCCTGTATTTCTCTCCCTGGAACTCCTGGACTCAAGGGATCCTGGCATAGACCACACAGCTGGCTTCAGCTTGTTGAGGTAGGTTAAGAGGCTAAAGAACTAAAACCAGGGTGTCTTGAGAAAGACAGAATCCGTGGTAGCTGTGACCGTAATCTGTCAGGAAAGACCCAGAGGCTCCTATGTCCTAAGATGGGCGGTTCTTCCTGGCCAGCTGTGCCCAGCACCTAAGACTACTGATATCCAGTCTTGGCACAAGTTGACTTCCCCTCTGTCCCTGTGTAGCTCTGCCTCCTTAGCACTCAACTTGTTAAAAATGCTCCAAAGTATGATCAAGTGAGCCTCAGTCGGTGTGTCAGTGTCACGTGATCATGCCCGAGCCTGAAGCATGCTTTGTTACCCGATCTGGGAGTTTCATACGTTCTTCATAGTTTAGGTGGCAGTGCTTAAGAGCACAAGCAGCGACAGCTACAGAAGCACGAAGATGGACGTCCCAACCAACCAACCAACCCTCGCAGTGCTTTCCAGAGCAGCGCGCTAACTTCTGTATATTTACGGCTAGTTGCTACACGTGTTACCCCACAAAAGCTGACCATTTATATAAAAAAAGATGTTGGTTCAACTCAGCAAGCTGCAATAGTTCCCAGTACTGCAATGTTTCCACGAGCTTTGTGGGAGCTGCAAGAAAAATGCTTGCTCCTTGGGTTTATGCATAACAATGGTGCATGGTGACTGCCTTTCATTAAAATTTGCAACTCCTCTCTCCTGAAAAATTCTTGACTAAGGACACTGTGCCTATGATCATGAGAGGGGATCTTTTTTGATGATTAAATGCCATCTTTAGAAAAAGACATGAAGATTTAGACCATGGGAGTTCTATTCTAGGTTTTCCATTCCTTTTCCCTCCACAAGGTCTCAGTATATAGCCTTGGCTGGTGACCAGGAACTCACTTTGTAGACCAGGCTGGCCTGGAACTCAGAGAGCTGCCTTTACATCTTGAGTGCTGGAATTAAAGGCATGTGCTACCATGCCTGGCTACATATAATTCTTAAATAAGTAACCTCTGTGGCCTTGGGCTATAAAAATAATACTAATGTAATAAAGGTATAACTACTAAAACTCATCTTTATTACTAACGAATTCCAGGCAGTATTGGTAAATAGCAAGACTATGATTTATTGACCATTTTTGCCATGTACAAGAAATGCTGCAAAATATTATTTTATATAACCCTCTTTAATAATCCTCAAAGGCTTGGCATGATTATCTCCCTTTTATAGTTGAAGAAACGAAGGCTACGAGGCTAAGAAATTTGGCCATGACAGTACTCTCAGGAAGGCGCACTGGGTCTGCTCACAGTATGGTAACTCGAAGGCCTTGCTAGACACCTCAGCTCTCTCGCCTTAGCTCATTGAAATAAAAATCAACTGATTTGATGAGTATTTTTCCAGGCCTTAAAGTCATTGACTTTGCAAAACCTCTCTTTATAGCAGACCGCCAGAAAGCTGTTAAACGTTATGCTGGGAAATTGGA